CTACTTGGTGATTTTTGCAATTTTGCAAAAAAAAAAACGGAGGTACAGGCTAGGGTACTTTCTGATAGAAGATTAATAGCAATTACTACTCAATTCAGTTGAGTCTCTGAACTGAACTAAAGTGCATGGCTGTTTATGTGTTTTCAAAGCAAATTAATCGTTGCTATATATACGACAATAACAGCTTATACTTCAAAATAACAGTATTGAGTTATTTTGAGAGACAAGCTAACTTGTACAGGGTGATATAAAAAACCTGCAACAAACTTCAGACTGTTGTCATTTCTAAGCCACTAAGTCCGACAGCTGTTAAAATTATTCCAGTGATAGCTCATTATATTGTTTACAAGCGTACAAAAACATTTCGGTGAGAATTTTCCAGAAAAATGACTCGTGAGCTTACTATATCGCAATATTCCATTCGGCAATTATTGAAAAATTAGCTCGGGGTAAATCCATTGAAATTTCCAAAAGTGCAAGAACTTACACTGCAACAGAAAGAAAATAGACTCAAAAGAGCTAAAGTGTTGCTTCGCTTGGCCCACCACTTTCGGCCAAGCGAAGAAATGATTCCCCTGAAAATTATGGCTATCATCATTAGAATACCAAATAAAGGGGGGGCGTTGTCTATAACAGAAAGTGAAGCTATATATGCAATATCTGTCACAGGAGCCCTAAGTACCGAATTTTAAACAACATGGAACTATATAGACAATGTTTTTCCACCAGAGTTCGGACTCATTATAAAATCGATGAACCAAATTATAAATAATTCTGTTAGAAAATGTAATCTAAGTCGTCAAAATACGGAATATAATCAATGAACAACAAATAATGGACGTAGTACTGGCTGGTATCAATGAGGAGATCACCATTTCGAAGAGGAACTGTCGTGATATAATTTCACCAGTGTAAAGTAAAGAAAATAAATTATATACTTTATAAAGTGTTATTTTCGGTGGGAAACAGAATAAAAATTGCGCTAGTTTGCTAAGTACTTAATTCCTATGACATATCTATGTTAAAAGAAGGTGTTAATGTGATGTTTTGTAAGTAGTTAAGTGTGCTACAATATACCTTACAAGCCAACTACTTGGTGATTTTTGCAATTTTGCAAAAAAAAAAACGGAGGTACAGGCTAGGGTACTTTCTGATAGAAGATTAATAGCAATTACTACTCAATTCAGTTGAGTCTCTGAACTGAACTAAAGTGCATGGCTGTTTATGTGTTTTCAAAGCAAATTAATCGTTGCTATATATACGACAATAACAGCTTATACTTCAAAATAACAGTATTGAGTTATTTTGAGAGACAAGCTAACTTGTACAGGGTGATATAAAAAACCTGCAACAAACTTCAGACTGTTGTCATTTCTAAGCCACTAAGTCCGACAGCTGTTAAAATTATTCCAGTGATAGCTCATTATATTGTTTACAAGCGTACAAAAACATTTCGGTGAGAATTTTCCAGAAAAATGACTCGTGAGCTTACTATATCGCAATATTCCATTCGGCAATTATTGAAAAATTAGCTCGGGGTAAATCCATTGAAATTTCCAAAAGTGCAAGAACTTACACTGCAACAGAAAGAAAATAGACTCAAAAGAGCTAAAGTGTTGCTTCGCTTGGCCCACCACTTTCGGCCAAGCGAAGCAACACTTTAGCTGCCGAATTTGGTTTTCTCCGATGAGAAAATATTCGTTGTCCAGCAGTTTGTAAACAAACAAATTTATCGTGTTTACTTGCCAAAGAGGTCAGCTGAAAATGTGCACCTTCGGTTGGCCACCAGAACTCAAGAACTCGGCCATGGTGATGGTGTGGGCCGCCATAAAAGCCGATGGTCGCTCTCCGCACGTATTAATCGACCGTGGCACCAGAATAAATGTCGAATATTATCGCGAAAATATTCTGGAGGGTGTATTGACGTCTTGGGCATGCAAACATTTTGGCCGCAGTACCATCGCACTCAGCACGCGCCACCCAAGAATGGTTACGATATGAGGTTCCTCCCGTATATTCATATTCAGCGCAGAATGACCACCAAAATCTCTTGATACCAATCATTTGGACTATTAAACAAGCGCTTCGACGGGAATGGGCCGACGGTGTTATTGGCCGTTGTGACCAAATTGGAAAAATCTAAACTTATTCTAAAATTTAATGCTATTTCCGACATTTTTTGCTTTCATTTAATAAAAAAAAAAAATAAAAAAATTTAAAAATTGTGGCGTTTGACTTTTTTCAGTTTTTTTTTTGTTTTCATTGGTCTAATACTATTCGAATTTTATACCTGAATTGTGTGTGAGCAGGTGGTGCCAGAAGTAGTAGGCCGATATCAAAAAATAGGTTTTGTCTTAGTAGAAATATCGGAATTTGTGAAATTTAGAAGAATCGGATTCTTATTTCGCGTTTTATGAGGGTTATTTATTCAAATGTTGGCCCCTTTTGTGGGGAGGTGCCAGAAGGAGTGGTCCCGTATATTACATATTCACACTTTATGTTGTAGAAATATTGGGTTGTGACGAGTTTGAAAGGAATTGGATGCTCAATTCGCCTTTTATAAGAGTTATAATTACTTTAACTTTTGACCCATTGTTGGAAAGGTAACAGGGGGAGTGGTCCGTTGTTTTTTATTTCATATCTTGGGTAAGTAGGAATATTGAGACATGCGAATTTGAGGACAATTGAACTTTTATTTCATACATCATACGAGTTATAAGTATTTACAATTTTAAGCATTTTATGGAGTTATTTTCTGACCTGAGATGATAAAAAGATTAAAATTGGCAAAGTTTGGACAACATTGAATGATCCTGTCTTGTTATATAAGCTTTATTATTTTTTTTCTTTTAAAATTTTTTGTATGGAAGGTTCCAGAAAGAGTGGATCTAAGTTTTATAATTATATTACCATGAACCAAGTTTGGATAATGAAGTTTGTTTAAAAGCTATAGATATCATATGTATTCCGTTTTAATATTTTTGTCCCCCAAAGCCAGGAATATGTACTCCATAACAAAGATTTTCGGTACAATATTTGATATACCATTAGCAAATTCTGTCGAGATCGGTTCAAATTTGGATATTTCGCTTTAATATATCCTCGCCCGACTTCAAGTTCATTGTGTTCATTGTACCGACTTTAGCCGAATGTTCAGATGTAGCTATAGCTACATATTCATACCCTGTTGAATACCCTACAACACTATAATAAACCATACAGTTTATTAGGCGAAATACTCGACAGAATTCCACAAGATAGTGTGACAAATAGTAAAAGAAAACCATCAGGTTTCGTTCTCTAATTTTCGAATAATAGCAACTTAAACTAATTTGCTCATTTCCAATTTATTGGTAGATGTTGCACGTAAATGGTCTTCCTAGATCTGGAACCAATATTTCCCAAAACCTATAATCTCTCAGAAGTGGCAAAAGATTAACATTTATTATTTGTTTTTGACTGAAACGCATCTATATGAGATACAGACATTTGACTATATTCTTCAACGGAATCAGCGTTAACGAAATAGTCAGAAATGCGTCTTTCCTTTATTTGTGAATTCTCCAAAAAGTCTCTGGAATGGACATTTTCGTATTTTGTCTACAAAAGTTGGGAAACTATTTCACACATTGAATATTTTTAGATGGCCATCCGAAATGTGCGTGAGGACCGGGCGATAATTACGACCTACCGACAATTTTGCAGTTTTTTGGTCCATTTCAACCCCTAAATATATGGCGATCATCTCCAAAAAGAGTAGGCTTCTATTCTGACCCTCATCTTATCCCCATGCAAAATTTCGTAAGGATCGGGCCATAAATGCGATCTGTATATGATATCCTGATATCCTAACTACTTAGTTTTGTTAGCTGTAGAAATATTACCAAATGTTTAATTCAAAATGAAAATATACCAAAAAATGACAAAATTGAAAAAATATGAGAAAATTTTACAAAATCAATATTTTCATCTTTTTATGCGATTTTGTTAGATGTTTTTTCTTTCCTGCCAAGAGACCATTCTGAATTAATGAGAACTGTCGAAATCAGTTCAGCCGTTCTCGACATATAAGAGATCTTTAAAAGATATGCTTCTTCTTTGATAGACATATATATCGCACATATTTTGCTATATATCCGATTTGTTGGATGTTAACATCAATGTAAAGGTCAGAAGTAACCTTGTGATGGCTTAGTGATTTCGTCGGGATTTAAAATATTCACGGTTTAATGAAAAATTTTAAATTTTTTCAACACAAAAGATATGGTCTATTTTACCCGCTAAATATTATCCGATGACCACCCAAATTGGTAGACTTCTTCCCCGCCCTAAACTCTAGCTACATGCGAAATTCCGTCGGTTGGTCTATAATTGAGACCTGGATAGCTACTGCAAATCCGACATTTTTTCAGTATTTGGTCCATTTCAACCCCTAAACATTTGGCGATCATCTCCAAAAGAAATAGGGTTCTATTCTGACCCTAACCCACCTTCGTGCAAAATTTGGTAAGGATCGGGCCATAATTGCGACCTGTAGCGTGATTACAAATTAACATGGACAGACGGACGGACGGACATACATAGCTAGATCGACTCAGCTCGGCGAGCTAGAAAGATCCATATATACTTTCCTATATGGAAAACCAATATTTCGAGGTGTTACATAAATTCTGGCCCAATCAAACTTATAATACCCCCAACACATAGTGTTGTAGGGTATAAATACCTCCTACAAATTTAGTGAAAATTGATGAAGATATATATTTTACATGTTTGATCCATCCAATTTAACATTTCATTCGTTCTAAACCCGTAGAACGCAATCAATAACGATCATAAATGGTACGATGAACCTGGATTAATCTGGACATTAATCCAACCCAATTTAGCGCTTTGTTTTAAATTATTTATTTATAAATTTGTAACTACATAAATTCGTTATATTCATTCATTTGACACATGCTGTTGTTGTAAGACAGAAATTGTATCTGATTACTTACCTTTAAAGAAGAATTCGAAGCAGTTGCTGTAAAAGAGAACATTTTCTCGCCGTTTTCCATTCAGACCACAAAAGGGAATTTCAAATATCTGGTAATGGACCTCAATACCAAAGATGAGCTGGTATGTATGATGCGCCGTTGATGTCGTTTCTTCGTCTTCTTTTTTATTGGCCAAGTTCTTGCACTAGATTTTCGTTTTTGTTTTGCTAACTCGGTTGACGTGCTATGGTTGTAATCTGTTTGAGTGGCGAATGCGCCTGCGCCTGCGCGAAAGCAATTCGTTTTCTATCGTATTGAAATGTGTGAAGAAAAACAAATCGACCAGTTTTCATAGAAAAAGAAAACAAAAACTAGATTTTCCTAGACTTTCAGACGAGACGACTGGCTGATTGTCTGATTTATCATCACTGGATGGACTGTGGATGGAGGGGTGCTGTACGACGGAGTAGGCATATAAATCATTTAACCAAAGGGGATCAGAATCTAAGTGCTTATGAATGTTAATTGTGGCTGGCTGGCTGGCGGTTTGACTGGCTGGTACTGGTGATGCTCGAGAGTTGTGACGGCAGCGGCAGTTGAATTGATTGTTGTCTACATTTGCTTATGAGATCACACAGTGGGAATTCTTAGCAGACGTTGGGAGAAGAAATTAGACAACAGGTGCTATGGAGGTGTGCATTGTTATCTTCATTCATTGTATGCTGGAAACTATTAGAAACATGGCATCAGCATCTTGATTATCATCGTCAAAGCTGATATATGCAGCATCTTTGACATTGTCTACTTCGAGTGGGTTAGGCTAATTAGATGTTGTCTTGAGCATATGTAGACATCAAATTAGCATGACCAGACGCATGCGCAATGTTTAGTAGTTGTAAAAGTGTGTGCATATGTTCAGCTTCACTTATGTTTTGGAACAAAAATATGTCAGGTTCTTTTTGGTTGAGCCACTTTTCACACAAAAATGATACAATTAAGTTTCTAATCAATTTTAATTGCAGTAAAAATAATCTGAATTTATCAATTATATTTTTTGGCAAAATACTCCAAAATACCACAAAAATCTAGTGAAGCATTTGTAGTATCCATAAACGCATGCGTCTTTGTCACACGCGCTTTGTTTGTTTGCCTTTTTGGTATGAGATAATTTTTTCGTTTGTTTTGAATATTTCTGTTGGCTAAAATCTTCTTTGATTTTATTTTGGTATTGATTTTTTATTGAATTTCGCTTTGCTCGTTAATTTATTGCTGTAGTTGTTGTTTTTTTGTATTTTTGGTTTTTCTTTTTTGTTTGTATTTTTGTTTTTGATTTTTTTTTCTTTTTTGGGTTTCTTAACTAATTTTTATATAATTTTAATTTCTTATTAAATATTCTTCAAATCTCCGCGCTATCTAACCGTTCGCTTAGTATTTTCGCTCATTTATGTTAGCTGAGATTTTGCAGATCTTGGCACTTGCCATTTGTGTTTGGCTTTTCGTTAAAGCTTTTGCACAATTCTCTCATTCATTGGTTCTGTCAGTTTGGGGCCAGTTTTGTTGGCGGTGCGGTGGGCACTCTATCTTGTTTGTTTCAGTTGCGAATTATTATTTTTCCATTTCTTCCATTCGTATTGTTTGTTTTGCTTCGAGCATTCACGAAGCTGTTTTTTACCAAACTGGTTCCTCATAATATTTGTATAAGCTTCAGTTGTGATTTTATGTTGTTTTTTTTTATTCGCACCCGCCTCTTCTACAACGACCATTCATTAAGCGTGTGTTTGAGCTTTTACGGAGCTAAAGACCAGTAGCTTTTGTTTCTTGTTATTTTGCTATTTACTGCGAGAATTGTTTAAGCCATGTTATGATCAATAATATTTTGAGAGAGCTCACGAACAAAAGCTTTAATACACCCAAATAAAAATGTCCAGAAATGTTAAACTCGTTTCAACAGTTCGTGTTAGGCCTTCTTAGTACTCCAAATGCGCAATTTATACAGGGTGAGATGAAACAACAAACTTCAGACTGCTGTCGTTTCTAAGCCACTCGTCCGACAGCTATTAAACCTATTCCAGTGACATCTCATTACATTGTATAGAAGCGTACAAAAGCATTTTAGTGAGATTTTTTTCAAAACAAAAGTCATTCGTGATGGAATTCAAGCGTGATAGTGGTTTTTGGTAGAGTAACCCGACGTCAATGAAGGGGACGGAAGAATACAGCAACATCAGCAGAAATGGTTCGAAAAGTAAAGAAGCGACTTGATCGAAATCCGTGTCGCAGTGGCCCAAAATGGCTTGTAAGCTGAACATATCGCAATAGTCCATTCGGAAAATATTGACAAATGAGCTCGGGGTAAAGCCATTGAAATTCCAAAAAGTGCAAGAATCTACACCGCAACAGAAAGAAAATAGACACAAAAGAGCTAAAGAGTTGCTTCGCTTGGCCGAAAGTGGTGAACTGTCGAATTTGGTTTTTTCCCAGGAGAAAAAATTCGTTGTCCAGAAGTTTGTAAACAAACAAAATTACCATGTTTACTTGCCAAAGAGGTAAGCAGAAAATGTGCAACTTCGGTTGGCCACCAGAACTCAAGCGCCGACATGGTGATGGTGTGGATCGCCATAACAGCCATTGAAATTCCAAAAAGTGCAAGAACTTACACCGCAACAGAAAGAAAATAGACTCAAAAGAGCTAAAGAGTTGCTTCGCTTGGCCGAAGTTGGTGAACTGCCGAATTTGGTTTTCTCCGATGAGCAAACATTCGTTGTCGAGCAGTTTGTAAACAAACAAAATTATCATGTTTACTTGCCAAAGAGGTCAGCAGAAAATGTGCACCTTCGGTTGGCCACCAGAACTCAAGCGCCGGTCATGGTGATGGTGTGGGTCGCCATAACAGCCGATGGTCGCTCTCCGCTCGTATTAATCGACCGTGGTATCAGAATAAACGCAAATATTATCGCGAAAATATTCTGGAGGGTGTATTAAAGTCTCGGGCACGCAAACATTTTTGCCGCAGACCTTGGGCATTCCAACAGGCCTCATCACCATCGCACTCAGCACGCGCCACCCAAGAATGGTTACAAAATGAGGTTTCTCGCTTCATTTCCAGCTCACAATGGCCACCAAAATATCCGGATACCAATCCGTTGGACTATTGCGTCTGGAGTATTTTAAAAAGCAAGGTTCGCACTAAAAATACCAAAGTGTCGATCACCTCAAGCAAGCGCTTCGCCGAGAATGGGTCTAAATACCACAGGGCGACATTCGGGCAGCATGTGACCAATTCGAAAAAATCTATACTTATTCTAAAATGTTGATGCTATTTCCAACATTTCTTGTTTCCATTCAATGAAATTAAAAAAAACAAGTAAGCAAAGGCTATAGTCGTGCGGGGCCGACTATATTATACCCTACAACACTACAATATGTTAGAAGCCCCCTTTATGTCCAAATCCATAGTGGAAGATTTCGCTTTTGAAATTAGGATTTTGACTTGGGACATTTGCCTAATATTTCTGCACACAGTCGGGCTGTTACTTGTTGTTGTAGTCCATTTTACAGCTAAATATAATCCAATGGTCATCCAAAATTCTAGAATCATTCCCTGTTCTTAACTCTCTTCACAGGCGTGTCGATTGGCTTCAATTGTGTGATCGGAAAAACATTTCTGTTTTTGGTTAATTTGAACCCCTAAATATTTTGCAATCATCCCCAAAAGCAAGAAGCCCCTCCGTATCTCCAAATTTAGACTCATCTATATGATTTGCTTGTCTACGATATTTGGCTATATTCGTCAACGAAATCAGCATAAAAACGCCAGAAGTTCGCCTTTTGTGTATTTCGGATATCGCCCTAAAGTAATGCTGGTATTTTTTTCACACAAAATTAGTGGTCCATTATACCCGCTGTCCTAAACTCTAACTTAAAGTGAGATTTCGTGTCCTTTGGATTCTATTTGTGACCTTTATAACGGCTGCAAAATCACGAAAATTTTTAGTTGTTGGTCTATTTCAACCCCTAATATATTGCGGACATCTTTGAAAATAATAGGCCTAGCCCTTCCGAGCCCAACCATACCCTTGTGATAATTTTCGTGAGGATCGGACGATATTTGCAGACTGTATATAATAACCAAAACATGTGTTGTAAGGTGAAAAAATATTACAAAATATACACTTCAATATTATAAGTCAAAATGAAAAAATTGCATGCGATAAAATTTATGAAAAAATAAAAAATGTCACAAAATACCACAAAATCTATAAAAACATCATTATTAGCATATTTTTTGCATTTTTTTTTTAGATTTTATACTTTTATGTCAAGAGGGCATTCTGGATTGACAAAATTTGTCAAAATCGGTCCAGCCATTCTTGAGATATAAGCATTCTAGCTAACATCCCCTTCCTTTGTACATATACATTGTGCATATTTCGCTATATATATCCGATATATTTACTATCGGCATCTACGTAACAGTCAGAATTGACCTGTCCGTCTATTTGTGATTTCGCCGGGATTAAAAATATTCGCGGTTTAATGGAAAATTTGACTTTTATTTAACACAAATGATGTGGTCTATTTCACCCACTAAATATTACCCGATGACCATCAAAATTGGAAGGCTTCTGCCCAGCCCTAAGCTCTAGCCCCATGCTAACTTCCACATCGATTGGTCCACAATTGCGTCTTGCAGAGCAACGGTAAAATCAGGAAATTTTTCAGTTTTTGGTCCATTTCAACCCCTAAATATTATGCGATCATCTCCAAAAGAAATAGGGTTCTATTCTGGCCCTAGCCCGACCTCCATTCTAAATTTCGTGAAGATCGGACCATAATTGCGACCTGCAGAGTGATTACAAATTAACATGGACAGACGGACAGACGGACGGACGGACATACATAGCTAGATCGACTCAGTTCGGCGAGATAGGAAGATCCATATATGCTGTCCTATGTGGGAAACCAATATTTCGAGGTGTTACATAATTTTTGGCCCAATCAAACTTATAATACCCCCAACACATAGTGTTGTAGGGTATAAAAATGTAAAAATTATGGCGTTTGACTTTGTTGCAGTTTTTTAGCTCACCTTGTTTGTAATTCAGTTTTTTTTTTTTTTTTTTTTTTTTGACGAATAATTGAATCTTGTTGTACTTCTTCAACGTCTACATATGTAATCCCTAGAAACCAATAGTGATCTCAATATCAAATATTAGAAAATCAGCATTGTCCTTTCACTTACAACAAAATTTTGTAACGCATATCCAAAACAATCCACATCTCTCCATCCTAGAAACCAACAGAGATCCAAAAATGGTATCATTTACTTCTTTTCGAAAAATTATAGTACGCATTTTCAAAAACACCAATGGAACTTAAAACCAGAATCCAACAGAGACAGCATTATGGAATGTCGAGATTTCAGTACTTAAAATCCACTAAATACCGTATTTTGTAAAATTTAGTACTTCTAGATAATCACATAATCTCAATATCAAATTTCAGAATTTCAACTATATTCAAGCACCATTCGTACAATTATAGTCAACATTTCCAAAACCATCTCCATATTTAAATAAAAACCGAAGCCAAAAGTGATCTTAATATCAAACTATCAGGATTTTAGCTCTATTCCTTTACCCAATACCAAATTTAGTACTATTAAGTACCTTTCGTACAAGTATAGTACACATTTCCAAAACCGCCATCATATCGCAATCCCAGATACCAAAAGTTATATAAATGTCAAATTTCACACTTTTATGTTAGTTCACATTTTCGAAACCACCCCCATATATCCAGGAAAGGAACGCTTTCACCAACCGAATTGTTTCCATTTCTTACACTTAGCACACATTTCCAAAACCACTTCCTTACATCAACACAATTTCCTAGAATTGATTCTCATACCGAAGATTTTACCACTATCCATTCACATACCACTGAAGGGTACCAATTTAGTGCATTTTGGTACTTTTGGTACACGTAGCGGAATTGTTTTGAATTTAGTATTTGAAGTTCGTAACGGATACTACAGCCTGTGACAGAAAATTGTCAGCGCAGGTCCATGTCTTCGTATAGCCCTCATATAACTGTACCTCCCGATATACGGTATTTTGATGATTTTAACGACATTTTTCAGTGGAATTGTTTCAAATTTGGTATTTGAAGTTCGTAATGAATACTACAGTCTATGACAGAAAATTGTCTGTGCAGGGCAACGTTTTGGTAGGGCCTCCATATAATGGTAACTCCCTATATCCGGTATTTTGATAATTTTAGCGACTTTATTCACCGGAATTGTTTAAAATTTGGTATTTGAAGTTCGTAATGTATACTACAGTCTATGACAGATAATTTGTCTGTGCAGGTCCACGTTTTCGTATAGCCTCATTTAACGGTAACTCCCGATATTCGATATTTTGATGATTTTAGCGACATTATTCACCGGAATTGTTTCAAATTTGGTATTTGAAGTTCGTCGTGGATACTACAGCGTATGACACAGAATTGTCTGTGCAGGTCTACGGTTTGGTATGGCCCCATATAATGGTACTTTCCTATACCCGGTATTTGGATGATTTTAGCCACATTATCCACCGATTTTTTTTAAGCTTCGCATTTGAATATTATCGTCGTATTTGTAACGGTTTTTATTTTTT